TGTTTAGCAGGCCCGCGCCTGGGTTTGAACCCACCAGCCCTGGAGCATGTAGCTGGCGCCTTAACTGCTGAGGTAATGGGTGCCACCTCAAAATATCTTTAAATATAGCAACACATTGAGCTAAAGTCCCCAGGAAATTGGATAATCCCCAGGAGTTGACAATTACTCAAAAATACCCTTAACTGAGTTGCAGCTGATAATGCACTGTCAATCATAATATAAACAATACAGCTTAGTAGTTAAGATACAGGTTCTGGGCTAGTCCAAGTGCAGTGGTGCTTAAAGTTTATTTAATTTAAAAGCCTCAAGCTGTACCCCTGGGTAGAGTGCCATGGCATCACAGCTCACAGCAACCTCCAAATCCTGGGCTCAAGCCAGTCTCTTGCCTCTGTCTCCCAAGTAGCTGGGACCACAGGCGCCCACCACAACGCCTGGCTGTTTTTTGGTTGCAGCCATCATTGTTGTTTGGCAGGCCCGGGCTGGATTTGAACCCGCCACCTTAGGTGTATGTGGCTGGCACCTTAGCCACTTAAGCCACAGGCACCCAGCCCGGGCTATTTTTTGTCCAAAAAAAAAAAAAAAGAATAGACAAGCTTTGTGGTGGGTGCCTGTAGTCCCAGCTACTGGGAAGCTGAGGCAGGAGAATCACTTGAGCCTAGGAGTTGGAGGTTGCTGTGAGCAGTGATGCTACTGCACTCTACCTAGGGTGACAGCTTGAGGCTCTGTCTCCAAAAGAAAAAAAAATAGCCAGGTGTTGTGGCAGGCGCCTGAACTCCCAGCCCAGCTACTTGGGAGGCTGAGGTAAGAGAATAGCATAAGCCCAAGAGTTGGAGGTTGCTGTGAGCTGTGACACTATAGCACCCTATCCAGGGTGCAGGGTGATATAGTGAGACTCTGTCTCAAAAAAAAAAAAAAGAAGAAGATGGCTCTGGAGTGAGGCCAACCTCAATCTGAATTGTAGCTATGCCAATTCCAAGCTCTGATATTTGGTAGGATACTTCTTTTTTTTTTTTAAGAGACGGAGTCTCACTTTCTGACCCTCGGTAGAGTGCGGTGGCATCACAGCTCACAGCAACCTCCAGCTCTTGGGCTTAAGCTATTTTCTTGCCTCAGCCTCCCGAGTAGGTGGGACTACAGGTGCCCGCCACAATGCCCAGTGATTTTTTTGTTGCAGTATGGCCAGACCAGGTTTGAACCCACCATCCTCAATATGTGGGGCTGTCGCCCTACTCACTGAGCCACAGGTGCTGCCCATTTGGTAGGATACTTCATCTAAGCCTTGTTTTCCTCTAGCAATACCAATGTTATCCACATAGAGTGGTTGTGAGGATTAATTAATACAAATACTGCCTTTAGATAGTATATGGAAATAGTACCAAATAGAGTTTAGCTATTATCTATTTCTTTTTTTTTCTTTGTCAGCATCGCAAGCAAGGCAAACTATTATCTATTAAGTACAGAAGTTTGGTTTGCTCATGTAGATAATTTAAGAGGGCTTAAATTTAGTCTGCATGCGCCCACTTTCCAATGGCCACCAGGTGGCACCATTGCCCCTGTTAATATTGAAGAGGTCCTCCCAAGGTCCTGGTGACCTCAATTCTCCGCCTTTTCTCCCTTGCGCCTTCTAGGACTAAGAAGGTCCGGCGTCCTGTCACTGTCCAGACACTATGCAGAGGCAGAGATAGATCCACACGCTTTATTAGAAGAAGGCCAGCAATTCTGGAGAACATTCGTGTAACATTGGCACTCTCCAAGACTGTTCTGTTCTTCCATTTCCAAAATTATAATTTTATGCATAAAAGATAAGGGAACTGTACTGACCCTTATCTTAAGCAACAGTAAGTAATACTTATCTTAAACAATAATTGCTATAACCCATGACCCATAATAAACAATAATTGACATAACCCATGACCCAAAACAATATTCTAATTCAAAAAGTTAATCTCTTAAATCAATTTCCCTAAACTACTTAAATACACACCTTCAGGTAAAAGCTAAATTTATAAAACCACAAAAATGGGAGACATGAGGTAAAGGTCACATATGACCTATGTGTCACGTCAGCCATAGCTTGATTGTATTTTTCTCACTACATGCACTCTCAGTTCCCAGGCACTTAGTTGTATTTGGTTTTTATTTTCTTATTTACTATCATTTGCATTGTGGTTTTACACTTAGTTGTATTTGGAACTAGAGCTCTCTTGGCTGCTTTATTCATGCCAATCCTTTTCCCTTAACATTCTCTCCACCTCCCCAGCTCTCATCAGTGTTCAGAAAGAGACAGCTTCCGGGAGATTCCAATAAGCGTCTTTGATCACTAGGCCTACCAATTGACCTTATAGTGGTGGATGTCAGGACCAGAAAACTTCAAAACAAGTCTATGAAGTCCTCATGACACTAGGTTCCAGGCCACAGTGTCAAGAGGCTCAGAGTATTGCTATTCCTCACCTTCCTTCCAGTTGCTAAATCTCCAAAATACTTTACCCTTATGGCCATTGAATAATCATTCCTCCTTTGGTAGCTTCACCTTGAGGATACCTGCTGTCTCTTGGGGCACTGGAGTTCAGTCCTCTGGACTGCTGGCTAGTCTCTGTGGATAATTAACCAGGGAGAAGGACCCAGGTCAGACTATTCTAGGGTTATTCTAGAGGAAATTCTCTATGAGATGCTAAATTGGGAGCAAATATCGATCACTGGAGCTTTGAAGTCACCGGGGAGGTAGCTGAGGTCATTGCTTCTCTGGGGCATTGCCTGGCTTCTTCTCTTTATGAAGTTCTTTCCTGAGACCTACTCATCTGATCCCTAAGTCAGAGGATCTCTAGTTGGTAGGTGTGAAGCTGGATGTGAGGAAACTCTAGAAGAGAAAGTTTTCTTTGTCTTTTTTCAAATCCAAGCTATAACTAAGTTCTTTATAAACAGAGTTCAGCCAAACCTGGCTAGATGGATACTGAGACCTCTGAACCTTGTTACTGCTATGTGGTGAGATAAAAGGACAGTTCGCTTGGGGCTGGGGGTTTGTAGATAAGGTGCTGTGGTCCTTGGGTCAGCTCCCCTCTGCCCTTAGATCAATGACAACAGGATTAGGGGACAAAGTGTCCTGAGGTCTCCTCTACCCAGAGGAGTTAGAACAGTGTTTTTAATCTCATGGCACACTTGAACCTATAAACTTCTGTAGCATACTTAAATTATGTTGATCAAAAAAGAAAAAAAGTAAAAAAAAAAAAAAAAAAAGAATACATTTACTGTGCTTTGAACTTCTTTTGAAAATAATTTCATTAATGATCTTTAAAATTTTTCGCAGACTCTGGGAGGCCAAGGCGGGTGGATTGCTTGAGCTCACGAGTCCGAGGCCAGCCTATAACCCAGTCTCTACTACAAATAGAAAAACTGAGGCAAAAGGATCGCTTGAACCCAAGTTGGAGGTTGCTGTGAGTTATGATGCCACAGCACTCTACCCAGAGTGACAGCTTGAGACTGTCTCAAAAAATAAAATAATTTTTTTTGCAGCACACCAGTTGATAATCACTGAGGTGTGGAAGATCATTGCAGTGCCATGGGTCATTTAATGGTCTCTGGGCACAGATTAAGAGAGTACAGAAGCCAAGTAGGAGAAGTGGCCTAGGGGCCATATGGGTGTGTTGTAACAAATAGAGAGAGTACCTAATGCCTGATCTTAGATGAGGGTTTTGTCCGCAGCTCCTAATTTTGTGGTTATATGTAGGGTGGGTTGGTAACATGACTGGAGTGGCAGTGAGACTAATGCCCAGGATGCGGAGGCTCTAGCCTGCTCTGTAAGACTTAATATTAAGGGGTCGTTTGTAAGACTTAGATTTCCGGCATTACTCACATAACTGCCATCTCACAAAGTTCTGGATTCAGGCTCCCGCTTTTGTTTTCATCCAATATTCGGGTCTGTTAGTATGTATAATACCATGGCCTCCGGCGGGTGAACAAACCCGACTTCAAATGATATCCACCAAGCATCTAACTCTGGCACCAGAGCCTCTTGTCCACATGGATGTCCCTCTGTGGCCATGAAGTCATTAACCAAAGACGTTCTTCAAGAAAGTGCGCCAAATGGGTAGGAGGAGTGGGCAATCGTCGGTTTCCGTGATAGTATATTAAGGAGTTAGCTCCCAACGACCAAAGGTTGAGTGGTGAAGCTTTTTCTTTGGTATTCACCTCAGGACCAACCTCACATGCGTTAATGGCAAAGGAAGAAGTAAACTGAATTCTCAGGCATTGGCTTAGCCACCTACACCCCGCCTCCTGCAGCCCATCTACCCTTAATTAGCCTAATCCGGTCGAACCAATCCGCCCAGCCACAACCGCTGTCAAAGGCTCGGGTCCCGCCCCACTTCTCATTGGACCAATGGCCGAGCCTTGGGCGAGTCCCCCGAGAGGGACAGGCCGGTATTTCGGGCAGTGGGCGGGGCCTCGCCGAGGACCCGGGGCTGGGCGCCGACGCCGGTTCGTCTACCCTCTCTCCGAGCCGCCTCCTTTCAACCTTGTCCACGGGTTGGCGTGGCCTCTGGTGCAGCGCCGGCGGCTCCCGTTCCTGTCTGCTCTCTCCCTTCCTTCCCTCCCCGCCAGGTCCTGGAGCTCGCCCGCCATGGCTTTACTCACTGCGGCCGCCCGGCTCTTGGAAGCCAAGGTGAGTAACTCGGGAAGGGAGCGTCCCATCCAGGGTGGGGCAGAGGCGACCGCAGGCCTCCGGCGCCGGGGTCTCCCTCCCACATCTGAGCGCACCCTGCGCGCCTTAAAGAGCCCTGCGCCGGGCCGGCCGCCAGCCCTGCGTACAGCTCCCAGGGCCATGTGCTGTGCTTCCTTTCCGGCGCCGGGGGTGAGCTGAACGCCGCCCGCTCCCGGCCTGCGGTCTCCGGCGGGTGAACAGGCCCGACCCTGCAGTGACTCGGTGTGTCTCAGGCGGAAGGGGAGAGACGCGTTACCCTGGAGAAAGGGGCCGAGCCGCTGGTAGAGAACAGATGTGTGTTCCGCGGGAGTTAGGGAAAGGTCTGTTAGGGCGGGGGTAAGAGGTAAAACGGGTGGCAAAGGTGAAGAGATGTATGCACCCTGTCTTCTGGGCCAGAGCTGATCAATGGCTACTTTCGTCTTTTGCTTTGTGGGAAGGGCCTTGTTCCTAAACTGCTTGTTTTCGTTTCTCTAAGCCAATTATTTAATCCTTTAGTAAGCACCCTGTAGCAGTTTCTGCTGAAAAAAGAAAAGAAAAAAGTGAGACCCTCAGGTCCTCTTTGTCCTTGGGACGTTTGCACTTACTCTTTATATATAGGAGGAGCTTGGGTAGGGTGGAGCACTTCAGTAAAAACCTCCTGCATGATTATCACATATGATTGGAGAAAGAGCCAGAAAGGTGGTTCCACCAAACTGCAGGCCAATAAATGAAGATACTCTGAAAGAGGTAGTAATGCCAAGGTCACGTGACCAGTCATACTCCTTACTCTTCCAGGTGTTGCTGTTTATCTTAAGTCTGTCCAGGTTTTTCCTGTGATTCTTCAGGACCCTTGACAATTACCTTTTGGCTAATTTTTGGATCCTAGAAGTACTGTTGTAGGTAATGGTGCCTCCAATTTCAAATTGCCAGTACTTTTGGTTATAGATAACTTGGCCCTTTAAACAGAGAAACTGCTATGCTGAGGGAGTCCTGGCCCTCTCATCCAAGCCAGGACAGTCCCACAAGTGACCTTGACTTTTTGCAAAGAACTTAAAATTTCTCTTCAGCAGACAGTTTAAAGCTGCCAGTACCTGAAGGGAAGAAGAGCCTTAGAATGGTTTTGGTGTGCCACGTTTAGAGATAAAGTGAAACCTATAGGACTATTTACCTTGAGGTTCTTCCAGCCACCCAGCAGCAAGGTAGAGGCTGATCATTGGAAGATACTTGTCTTGACTGTGGCTTATGCTGCTGCCAGGGAACAGGGTAAGGAAATCTCTTGGGAAATGCAGCAAGTTCTAGATGGTGTTTTGGCAGAAGAGGCAATACTATAATTAGCTCATTCCACAACTGCTAACCCAGACCAGATAGTTGACCCTCTACAATGAATTTGAAAAAATGTTTGGATTTGCCTTTTGAATTAATTTTGTCTCTTAAAAGTCCTTGGGAAGTTCAGAACACTTTTAGGATAACAGGACTACATAATTTTGGTATTATTTCTTTTTTTTTTTTTTTTTTGTAGTTTTTGTCCAGGGCTGGGTTTGAACCCACCACCTCCAACATATGGGGCCTGTGCCTTACCCTTTTGAGCTGCAGGCACCGCCCTCTTTTTTTTTTTTTTTTTTTGAGATGGTCTCAAGCTCTTGCCCTGGGTAAAGTACTATGGTGTCATAGCTCATAGCAACCTCCAACTCTTGGGCTCAAGCGATCCTCTTGCTTCAGACTGATTTTTAGTAGAAACACAGTCTTGCTTTTGTTCAGCTGGTGTTGAACTGAACTTGTGAGCTCAAGTGAGCCACCATGCCCAGCCATATCACTATTTTCTTTACTCTTTTTGTTTTTTGCAGGTTTTGGCTGGTGCTGGGTTTGAACCCACCACTTCTGGCCTTTGAGCCACAGGTGCTGCCCTTTCTTTACTCTTCTATTAAGTGGTAGACTTGATGATCTAGAAACCCGTAAGTTGAAAGTCATTAGAAGGCTTTTACTCTTTTTTTTTTTTTTTTTTTTT